GCCAGGGCAGTCCCTCGGGCAGGGGGTGGCTGCCCCTTCCCGGGCTTCTTACTTGAGCCCTGCGCCCTTCCGGCCGCTCTGAGTCAGCGCCAGGCACGCAGAAAGGTCTTTCTTGCCTTTTCCTTTCCTAATTAACTTTATTTCCATCGCAAAGAGAAGCGTGGACAGACTAATTGCCGTGCTGGTACTGTCTCAGTCTGCTGCTGACCTGAGCCCACAGATCTGGGGGGAATTAGGAGCTGGAAGGAGGTAAATCAGATTAGCGCCTGCGGAGGGAAATCCCTTACCCACAGGGCAAATCCGAAGTGACAGCGCTTTGCAAAGCAGCAGAGACGCAGCACGCCATCGCCGCTCCCAAACGGCAGCTGGGCATGCTGAGACCTCGCTGGCACTGCCGCTGGCGATTTGGGTGGGAAACCAGAGATTTTGGGAGTACGTGTCTGCCAAACAATGCACGGTTTGCTGCAGGGATTTGGGGGTCTGGACTGACTTCTGCGGGGCTCGCAGGAGAGCTCTCCCCAGCCAGGCTCCTCTGCACAGGGGAGCGGGGGTCCTCGCAGCAAGGAGCGGCTGAGAGCGTCTCGCAGCAGAGAGCCCCGCGCTGGCACCGACTGTTTGTTAAGCTGCTATTTCTGATTTTCTCCTCTGCTTCCTCAGCACTTAGGGATCCCAGGGCTTAGCACACTAAGAGGTTTTAGGGTATTACACGTCCTGCTGCGGCACCAGCGGGAGGGGCCGTCTGCATCCCATCACGGACCACACAGCAATCCGGTCTTCCCTTGGCACCGGCACGGGCTGAGCTGTCGGCAGCGTTGGGCTGGATGGGAAACAACCTCCCCAGGAAACCTGGGAGACTTGACATGGGATCGGGTAGAGCCTCACGAAGGGGACCTGCAGGGACCTGCTCTGCCCAACCTGAAGGTGAGCACGGTGCGGTGGAAGGTCTTCCTCTCGCTCGTGCCCTTCACGTTCATACGTGTCACTGCTGCAAGGGACGTGAGACCCCCCTCCTCCTCCTGTCCTCACCAGCTCTGGTGTCGGCGATGCTCTGCTAGAGACGGGACATGGCTCCTTTCTCGCAGGTTCTGCACAAACACAAATCTCCTCCTCAGCAGCCGAGATGCGCGGGTGCGCGCTGGGGGGAGCGTGCACTGCCCTCCCGTGTTGACACAGAAATGCACACGCCTTCCTGCAAAACGTCAGGGCATCCTCACTATTCACTGCCCAAACAGGCAGACAAAAACACTGCAATGGATATTCTTTTTTTTTTTTTTTCAGCAAGTGAAGTAATTGCTTCTTTTCCCACCACTTTTAAGTGACTTGAGTACTTTAAAACACTGACAGTGAATTTTAATCCCTGCAGGAAATAAGTTATGGGATTCCACGCTAATGAAAAAATTGTTTCCTTGAAGACCTTCTGCCAGACTTTGATCAGACAAGACTTTTCACCCATTTCCACAGCACTTGGACTGAATCAGCTTCATTTCTCTCAGACTCAACCTAAGCACCTTAAGGTACTTGCTGGCTGGTTTGTCCTTGAGCACAGCCTACAAGGCCGCCAAGAGTGGATGGAGCTCCTCGGCAGCGCCGGTGCTGGTGCCCTGCCCGGCGGACTCACTGCACCGGTAGCTCAGGCAGCTCCGCGCTGTGCGCAGGGACCGCGGCGCACAAACCCTGCCCGCCTGCCCGCCTGCAGACAAATAAACCGCCTCGCGCCCACGCTGCCGCCAGCCCCCCATCCCAGGGCCCCTTCTATGCTGCCAAACTTGCCAGGTTTGGGACAGGTTTTTGTTTGGGACACCCAGCGTCCCGAACAAACCTACAGCTGTACCTAGAGCAGTACAGAAATTTTGCTGTATCAGTAGGAAGGGAAAAAATGGCTTTTTCACAACATCTCTATCAGGAGCAAAGTGCCTCAGGCTGCACTCTAGGATAGCTGTGCCCCAGCAACATTTTGGCTGCATTTCTCTCTCTTGGGTGCCGGTTTGGTGCGCTGGGGGCCATGAACTTACCAGGGAAAAAAAAGATCCCCTTCCTGAAACCCAACCTCATCTCCTGTCGCTGCGTCTCGACCAAGCCAATTAATTTCCTCTCGCTGCCAAAGCAGCCCAAGCGCCCCTCGGAGGGCTTACCTGCCGTGCCCGAAATCCAGCCAGCGGCAGACCGGGACCCAGAGCTGGCAAAATCATCACGGCAGCTTCAAAGCTTTTGGATCAGTTACCCGGCGGCAGCAACCGGCCGAGTTTCTATGGCAAATTCTACCCCGGCACCGTAACCCAATCGGCCGCTCATTAGCGGCGCTCCGGAGAGCACGGACCGCGCCGGCTGCGGGGACGGTTTCAGTTGACAGCCACCGCCTGAGGAACCGGCGCAGGGCTTTTCTCTCCCGCAGCTTTAGTCCCCTTCAGCCCGGTTCCAGCAGAGATCCCTGCGGGTACTAGAGCGAACTCGCCCCCGCTTCTTACAGCACGCGGGGCACGATGGCGCGAGAGGAGGCTCCGTATTAAAAGGGACTATAACGCTCAGAGCTCCTGCAGAAGACAA